CGACACTATATTGTTTAAAATACCTCATCAAGACACGTCATAATTTTCTTTGAAAATAGTTTTCTTCTACTTTGAAATAGCTGCTGACAGTGAAAATTAAAGGAGTTCTATTTAGAAACTTTCCAGCATATTTTATATTTTTTTCAATACTTCAGGTTCCTTAATTTAATAACAAAAACTTTTGCTGGAAATAGGCTCTTTCTGTTGTTTAGAAGATCAGCAGCTTATTCTCTTTATTCCTTCCTGAACTGAATTTTAATTTTTTTGTGTGTGGCACCTCCTCAATAGCTAATTGATTTCAAGTGAGGAAGAAACAGCAGGAGAAAATGAAATCTAAAGCAAAAAAACAACAACTTCATTTTATGCAAATGAGTCAAGTTGCATAAGAAAGGGGGGTAGAGAAATGTGATGATCTTAAATTGTCTTCATCCAATCTTTTTCACAAGATGCCAGCAAGTCTTGAAAGCAAGAGGATTTTCACTCTAAAAAATAACATTTTAGATGCTGCACAAAAGACAAATTTAATTCTGGGCTGCATCAACAGGAGCATTAGATACAAAGCACAGGAAGTGATAGTGCCTCTTTACTTGACACTGATTAGGCCTCATCTGGAGTATTGCATGCAGTTTTGGGCTCCACATTTAAAAAATGATGTGGAGAAGTTAGAAGGGGTTCAGAGGTGGGTGACAAAAAATGATAAAGGGCTTGGAAGGCAAAAGGCAGGGTAGATTTGCACCTTGTAGACTAACTAAATCAGGGGTATATAGCATAGCATTTCAGACTCACATGATAACTATGTCTCTGCTCTTGGAAAGCAAGTTGTGCGAGGAGAGAAAGAAATAGATATGTTCAGATGGTGGAAAAGGCGATTAAGAAGGAACATGCTAGCAGTCTTCAAATATCTGAAGGGATGCCATAAAGATGAGGGAGTATACCTTTTCTCTTGCTGTATAGAGCAGGACAAGAACCAGTGGCTTAAAGTTTTAGCAAAGTCGTTTTAGATTGGTTATCAAGAAAAAACTTCACTGTTAGAAGTAAGGCAGTGGACTAGATGGCCTAGGAAGTTGCAGAATCTCCATCACTGGAGGTATTTAAGAGGAGGATTGGGCAGGGATGATTTAGGCATAGCTATGCCTATGCTATGGGTATCTGGGTATTTCCCAAACTGCTGAGCTTTACTAGTTACTGCATGGGGCTGGGAAGGAATTTTTTTTCTTCCTTCGGTTGCTACACACTAGGGGTGTTTTTTCACCTTCCTCAAAAGCACTGGGTGTTGGCTGCAGTTAAGGCCAGGGATTTTGACTGGGGTTTGCCAGTGCTCCTGCTAGGACTAAAACTGGGAGGTTTCTGCCCAGAGGGTCTTGCCCCTCTGCTCAGGATCAGACTGATTGCTACATTTGGGGTCAGTAAGGAATTTTACCCGTGGGATCAGATTGGTATGGACTATGGGGGGTTTTTTTGCCTTTCTCTGTAGCAGAGAGTGTGGTCATCTTTCTTGGATCTCTAGAGCATATTTTAAAAACCCTTGTAGCAGCAGGACACTAACAGCCCTCTGCTTTACCTGGGGTAGGTTATGATGCTACAATCTTGTGTAGTTGTGCACAAGAGTTGATTGTAGGGTGGCCACCTTTTCCAAATTGGAAGGCGGGACATATGCCCACCTCTCCCCTCTGCAACCCTCTCCCTGAAGCAGAGCTGAGCAGAGCCCATGGGAGGCAGGAGGGGATGCGGGCTGCCTGCTCCAGGCTTAGGGCTCTCCACCCTGCTGCCCTCCCCAAGGAGCCCCACGCTGGCTGCACCATCATGGCAAGGTGCCCCCTGCCCACCCAGCAGGAGCAGGGGGAACAATTCCACGTCACAGCCACCACTACTGCCAGGTGGGCAGGGGTCGCCTTGCCATGGCTGCATGGCTGACATGGGGCTTGCAGGGCCAAGACATCATGGCAGGAAACGCCAAGCCCACATCTTCTCCTGCCCCCACACACAAATCTGTGGGGGGGGGGCAAGTTCCCCCATGGCCCCCTCCCTGGGAATGTGCGCAGCAGCAGGGAGCGGGCTCCATCCTGCTCCCCAGCCAGGCCTTGCAGCCACACATTCCTGCCCTGGGTCCCATGCAGTGCCCTAGCTGGGCAATGCCACCAACCCTGCCCCACTCCTTCCTTCACCATGGGGGTCTCTATCTGTCCCCCTCCCTGCCATCAGACTTGCCTGCAGGCCTGTGTGTGCATGCACACATGCACGTGGCACCCTCTGTGTCCCACTCTCTCCAGCCCCAAGCGGCCCCTTGCAGACTGGAACTGTGCCAACCTGCAAGGGGAAACCTGTGGTTTTCAGAAAACCCAGATCACTGTACCATACTGGGGAATCTGGGACAAATGCTGTCCCGGAGTCATTCAGCCCAGGACAGGGACTTGTTCTTTAAATTTCAGGGCTGTTCCACCCAGTTAGGCATGGGTGGTCACCCTAGCGAGTGCATAGTTTTAGGAATGGGTTAGGTAAGGATTTGTGTGGGATGGTTCGGATGGGGATGTTCCTGCCTCCGGCAGGGGGTTGGATGAGACTTTCCAGAGGTCTCGTCCAGCCGTACTTCTCTGTGATTCGGACTCTGGTTGGCACGGCAAGCACTGAACAGCCTCACTAACTAGTCTGTGCTGCTTCTCAGAGGTGTAACTGGGCAGCTGCGCAGTGCCCAGGGTGGTGCCAGCTGCTACGGTGCCAACTGCAGTGGCATGTTCAGCTGCCACTGTGGTTGCAGCTATTTTTGTGTCCTTTCACAAAGACAGAGCCTGGGGTGGCTATCCCATTTGCCCTTCCTTCCTCCCCCTCTGGCCCTTGAGTTACACTACTGTTGCTTCTCTTGTTCTGTTAAACTTTAGAGTGCAATATTGCTGGGCACCTTTCTTGTCTGTTAACTCTTCCCATCAGATATCATCCACACAGTGTCCTAGTTTGCATATGAGCTACGGTTTTTTTCAAAATTCTTTATCACATCTTTCTCAGTAAAGGAAATTAATTTGAGTTTGGAAAATAGCAAACACATATACAGAACAAAATCACCTACTATTCTGAAAGTAGAAGGCTCAAAAGGAGGAGGGAAGTGCTTCACTTGAGCTGTAGGTGTCTGGTTGTCATTTCTCTCCGTATTTGCTTTGTTTAGGCTTTAAAAATCAGGCTTTAATCTCTTGTGTTCACTGTTAACTGCCTAACTCATTTTCCAAGTCCAAATCTAAACTCAGAAGTTGTACCTCTTTAAGGTTATCCCCAACCTCCTTATTGAGAGGCAGTTACAGTGATATAAAGATTTTTCTGTAGGTTTCTGGGAAAAAAGTGAATTTTGCTCTAAAAGGATAGGTCAGCTTTATATATCAGTCTAGCTTCATGCATCCATGCTAGATACTATATCAATATAACTACTGGTAAAATGTACCCCTAAGTATACATCAATACAAAAATATTACGTAGAACAGATCTAAAAGTGTAATCATTTCCCAAAACGAAAGAAAATTTTTAAAATTCAAAAGGATGAAAATAAGTATCAAAGATTTGTATGGGTGGCGAGAGCACCCCTTACTCTACTGGTTTAATTAGACAATTTACAGTGTGTGTAGGAGGGCATTTTGCTGTTGTGGCAGTCCCTAACATGAAAGGAGACAGTATTCAACATGCCTATATAAGCTTTTCTCACGGTAAACAGGCACTGACATATGTTCTCAGTCATGATTAACTGCAGTGGCACAGCTGATCCTCTTTCAGGCACTGACCATCATGCCTCCAGAAAGATCTTAAGCCAGCTTTCATTTAGATGTATTGCTGCTGTAAACAATTTTTACTTTCTGATGCAATCAAGCAATTACTTCAAACAGGAGGACATCACAGCTTTTTCATCAGTCTAATATCTGGATTATAGGAGATTCCTTGAGCTGATGCTCTGTTGTATGAGCAAGGGGTATTTGAAAGTTAGTCATAGCAACATAACATACCATTATGTAATCTGCTACCCACCAGAGTCTTATTTCCTTTTTTTTGTTTAAAGAGGCAGAGAACCTTATGTCACTTGTAGTTGTGGCCTCCCCAAATTCTGTATTCATTAATAATCTACTTCAAAATCACTTTCTTTTTCCATCCCTTGCATATTAGCACCAGTGTATGAAAAAGAACTGCATTCCCTGGTCTGTTCTCTATCATCACAAGTCACTTCTTACCTCCTCCATGTCATCTGATCAACACTGGTGCAAGAGCCTTCATCTGTGCAGTCCCTCTTTAGATCAGCTCCTGGGACAGCTCTATAGAAAATGTGCTGCCTTCCAGACGTGCTAAGATTCCCAGAGACAATAAAGAGGGGGAGACAATTCAGTCAGATCCCAGCTGTATCAGAAACGGCTTTTCATTCTTTTCTCCTGCTGTTTAGGTGAGTTGCTATTCAACTGTCCTGCCATAAAGGGAAGAGACATGATACCCTGGTGTAATATCACACCTGGAGAAACACAATCTGCAGAATAGTTTTCAAAGTTCAACCTATAAATGTAGTATTTAATACTCTGTAATGCATGGGTAGGTGATGGGCCAGTGGGCCAGATTTATCCAGCCTGTGAAGGTAGCAGTGGTGGCTGTGTTGGAGTAGAAGTGGTGACCTGCTTCAGACTGAGCTGTGTTACTTCAGCCTGCTGCTTCCTGTTATAATGCATGGATCACTTTCCATTCCTTGTCTAGTTCATACTCTTAAGCAATTGGATTAAATAAGAGGTCTCTGGCAGCACTACAGTATATCGACGTGCAAGGTTCTTGTCACTACCATTTGTGCATTGACTACGGTGTGATAAACCTGGACTGAAAAAGAGAATTAATTCCTCTGGGCCAAATTCAACCCTGGTGTCACTCCATTGAGTACAATGGCTTTAAACTGAGGATGAATTTGGCTCATACCTGACTCTGGCAACATTCACTGTGCAGCAGCCAATTAACAAGAACAGTGTCACCAGAGGATAGAGCCAAGATAAACAGTGTCCTCTGAGGTCACTCCAGGGCTGAGCACCTTTAAGAAATGGCTGCTGTAATCTGTGTAATGAAGAGTTGGGGAAAAGGATACTGCTCCTTTTAGAATCTGTGTGTAAGAGAACCCATAAGCTATTCCCGTGATGTGATCAAATGTGACTGAGACGACTGCAGGCTCCTGGACTCTTATTCTATAAAGTCTACATCAGAGCAGCACAGGAAAAGATCAGAGGGAACAGCTTCTGCTATATTCAGAAAGGTACATATTTATATTTTCCTATGTCTCGGATCTGACATGCTTTGTTATCATAGGGTAAGCCACTCTTTCAGATGGTACCGGGCAGAAAAAAGCAGTTTTTGCCTTGTTTTTGACTGGCCCTCACTGTCGTGAAGCTAGTCCGTGGGCAGCTACAGCCTTCATAGAAGAAGAAAAGGACATATTTATGTGTAATGCATTTGTAGCATGCTGTAAACCCAGACAGGTGAAGGAAGCGAGATACAATAGCCCAAAGTTGAACATGTAATTTATGGCTAGCTATGGTAGAATTGAGTACTCATTCAAATTACTTTTCAAGGAAAAGCCGAGCACGAGTCAAGGCTATGTGCAATTATATTTATGATTGTGAGGGGGAGTTTAGTAAATGTGCCCCTGTTGTCGTCTTTTCTGCTTGTTTCCATTCGGAGTAGGGAGCTACAGTACAAAGTCCCCATCTTCCCTCTGAACAGGGAGAGCGGCGAGCCAGTACTTTGGCAGCAGGCACTGTTGCTGCTTATGGGATATCTCCCTGGTGCCTCAGCCCCTTAAAGGCACATTTAAAAAACAACCCTATACTTCCTTGGCGGTGTTACCAGCAACATCTCACCGCATGAAATCTAAAACAAGCTTTAAAACTCCAATTCAAGGTTTCTATATTTGTGGTTTCCTTTCTGCACCAGCTCGGCTAGGGATCACAATAATAGGCTGCTAAGCTCCAGGTTTGGGCTCTCATGCATTAGCTCAATGCTGTATTGTTTAGCATACAACAGAAAAATCATCTGGTGCGTGAATTCAGTTTGCATCTCCAAAAATGTGCTGTCATATTTGGCACAAATGCTACAAGCTGCGCGTGTGTGAACCGTTCTATATTTTTTATTTCATTTTTCTTCATCAGCCTGATGCTGCAGTTCTAGTTTTACTTGTTTAACACTGCTCTAGCAGTGTTTGTTACTGCCTACTGTCTACTGCTGTTTGCTAATCTTCCAGCAGTATCTGTGGAATTAGAGCTGGCTGGGAATTTTCTTACAAAACTTCCTTTTGGACAGAACATGCCAATTCATCAAAAATGATCTTTGTTTAGTGGGACCACATCAGTTACAGGGGAAAAAAAATCCCAAAACTTTCTTTAGAAAAGATTCCTCAGGTGTAAAATGTCTAGCTCAGTAATCGCCAACCAGTGGATCTTGATCCATCGGTAGATCTCGGAGCCTCTTGGAGTCGATCCGAGGTTGGGGTGGGGGCTGAGTGCCTGTGTGCATGCATGCACGCACCCCAGCCCAGCAGGTCAGCCCATGGGGGAGGGAAAGGGCGGGAGCTAGATCAAGGCCCTCGCAATGAGGGATAGTGCCGCAGAAGCAGGAGCAAGGGTAAGTTGAGTGGGGCCCCGGCCGGGTGGTACTTACCTGCTGGGGAGGTGCACCCCTAAATACTTTTTTCTCCTTGTGCCTGAATTTGCCTCCCCTTCCCTCCCCACAGACTTACCTGCTGGGCTGGTGGTGGCACACGATAGATCGTGGGTTATTTCTAAATGCCAAAGATGATCTCCTTAAAAAGGTTGGAGACCACTGGTCTAGCTGAAGCAAGAGTTGACTCTCCACCCAAGAATAACCAAGGGGTTAGGACACTCCCCTGGCATCTGAGACCACATTTCAAATCCCTGCTCTGCTTCAGTCACACTCTCTTTTCCCAACTGAGGGCTCTAGCCACCCTAATGACCAGCAGACACAGGGCTGGGAAGGATGTGGCTGCCTAGGGCAGGGGACAGTTTCCCAGCCCCCTGCCCCAGCCGATTGGGGTGCAGGGCTGAGAGGCAGTGGAGGTGGGACAGCTTCTCCTACCCTATAAAGCCCAGGCCTGACCCCAGTGCCTCCTTCCAGCCTGGAGCTGCTCCCAGGGGAGCCTGGAGCTGGTCCTGGGTGCCGTAGGGGGCAGAGCAGGGCAGGAATAGCACTACACTGAACTGCTCGCATTGGGAGCAAATTTGCTCCAGATGGGCACACATGTAGCTGTGCTCAGGGGGGGGAGCTTACTGCACTTTATTTTACTGTGCAGTAAGCTTAAACTGCCTTAATAGGACATGTAGACACACCCAGAGGCTACTTTATCTCTCTGGCCTAATGAATATTTATTTATACAAAGCAAAAGAGCTCTGACAGGAGAGACTGAGAGAGAGCCCTCAACCCCAGCATAGCCAACAGCCTAGCGCCTGGAAGATTGAGGTTTAAGCGTGGTCTGAATGTGGTAAAGCAGGGACTTGCAGGTGGGACACCACACCCCAGGACAGCAGCCCAAGCACACACAAATGGGTATTTTGGGGCTGGGCGAGATGCAGTGATCAGGTTTTTCACAAACACGTCCAAATGGAATGAGAAGAATCTTGAAGTCAAGCAGACTGTTTCCTGCTCAGCTCACAAAGGCGGGTGAAGGCAGGCATGGTGCATTGTGGGCTGGACTAGTATTGCCCAGCAGAGACTGGGCCTATGGATAGTTCAAAACAACTGTGGAAAAGAGTGAATAAGTAGGAAATAGAAATAAGTTTCTCTAGAAAATGTTTTTCCCATGAACCTATTAGCTACAGAAGGTAGGGCATTTTTATATGTGCTCCAGGAGGCGCTTTAATTAGTGAGCTGCACTAATTAAAAGCACCGAAGCATCAGGTGTATCAATGTCCCCCATACCGAAGAATGGCAGAGGTGTGCTTTGATCTAAAGCTCATCAACCAAGCTTTAGTTCAAAGCACCCTGCCAGCATTTTTCAGCACAGACATGCTGATACATATGATGCTAGCATTTGCTGGAGCACATTAATTTCTGTGCTCCATCGGACTTGATTAATTGAGTCTGATCCAACACACTGGATTTCCAGCAAGTCAGAACTGGCTCCCTGCATGTGTATAGGACCCCATAGATTTCTTCCCAAATTATAGTTGTAATCCTGCAATGGGATCATGGAACAGGTTGGCAGACTGAGGAGAGGCCTCCTCTCTATGTGGATCACTTTCTCCACCACCGAAAACTGGAATCCATTTTAAATAACACATGATCACTCCATCCCATTTCTAGGATAGTCAGTGCGGAAGGATGCTTTTTAGCCAATAGAAACAACAGAGGGAGTTTGAAATGGTCAGAATGTCATTATCCTAATTGGAATCTCTCCAGGGCAATGCAGTTAAACACCCCTATAAAGGCTAATTGATGGGAGTTCCTGATACACAATAGGCACTTCTTTTTGTTCTTCCCCTGTCATCCAATGAGAAGAAGCCTATATTTGTATTATTTCAATCTGGAAAGACAAAAATAAAAGGCAAAAGGACTAGAACAAAAATAAAATCAGCAGAAGTTTGCGCTTATGGAAGTTTGACATTTCTGTAGCCATGGTAATGAAGCTGAATTATAATACTGAAGTGTAGAGGGAGAGAGAAAATTTACATTTAGTGTGAAGAGTACTCGATGGAAAAAGAAGGTAAAAGTGAATGTAGCTTGATTTCAAGATGGTGATGGAATATGAAATTACATTGTACTGTACAATAGCAGATAGGGCCAGGCAAGGTTTCCTTTGATGCAGTTTATTTCCATTTGGCTGTATGTTGATTTCTGCACATGAAGGAACGTAAACCTCATTTCACTTTTAGTTGTATTTCTGCATTTGTCAGAAAATGAAGGAGAAAAAATATGCTCCATATTTTAAAATATTTTTTAAATATTCAGTTAAATATTCCCCCCCTTTTAAAGCACACCTATAAATTTGCAGTTGCTACAGCCACACCTAATGCTTGGCAGAGGTTAATGAAAACCTTTTTGTCAAGTCAGTCTGCTAGCCTTCTTTCATGGAAAGATTGAGAAAGCATCGTCTGAATGCTATAGTAAGAGAGATGGTCTTAATTACGCACAGTGTGGGAAACTCAGAAATTAAAATTCTAATCATGGTTTTGACACAGATTCCCCTGGTCTCTGGCATAGTAACACAGATTTTACAAGTATATGCAAAACCATGCAAGCAGCTTTGCACATACCTAAACGCATACATAATTAGTGTAGGCATACAAAACAGGCTTGCAAACACATGCAAATCTTGATTTTTCACAAGTGTGTCAGGTGTTCTAATGCAGTTTGGGCTCAAGCTTTGCAAAACTTGGATATTAACCTCTTGAACCTCAGTTTTACCATCTGAGAAATGGGGCTAAAATCTACCTCCCACAAGTGTTATTAGACTTAAATAGTTAATTTGAATGGCCTCTGAAGAAGAATGTTCCATAATTGCTTATTATCACATTTTGCTCTGTGGACACTGGCTACTAGCCACCATGTTTCTGAAATGAGTTCAGACCCCGTTGTCCCCAGGCACTCTTCTATTGTAGTCAGCTTCTATTACCATCAATACCATCAGGCCAATGGAGAGATTCTTTTGTAAAGGAAGGGTGAATGGTATAAATTTACCAAGCACTCCCCATTCACCAGGTTATGTGAGCTAATAAAAGCTAGATTGGATTATAAACCCTCTTGTATCAAAACAGTACAGTACTGACTGGCTGCTTAGAGACTCATAATAAACTCCGAACAACCAACCAGGCACTTGGCAGTTATATTAAATGCATGAAAAATGATAGCAGAATTAGATGTAGTATCATCTTTCCACACAGGGATGATTTATCAGTGGGACTAAATCGATTAAGGAAAGTGTTTAAAGTACTGTTTGTTCCCACATTTTCACCAGTTATTCATAATGTCAAGAATATTAATGTCACCTTGCTGTTTGGTATCTGTGTATCCTCAAATGGATGTCTTTAGTAAATACAGATAAGAACAGTTTGTCCTTGTCAAGTGCCATGCATCCAAACATATTGGTATGCCTTTCAGACAGAAATTAATTTAATTCAATAACATCCCGCTAATTACAAAAAGTAATATTAATTATCATTTACTGGAAGGATCATTGAGGCATAGAGGTTAGGTCACTTTCCCAAGGTCATATAGGACATCTGTTGCTAAGGGGAAGATAAAAAC